TGGAGGCAAACTCCTGTGTTGGTGTTGGTGCCCATTTCCAGGCCTCCAAGGACAGGCTCACGGGGGGAACGCATCGCGTCCCAATCGCCGATTCGTCGTCGATGCGGGCCTGATAGCCCGCCCCGCCCAGGAACGTGCGCTCTTGCTATCGGGGGCCTTATCGCCGACCTATCGGCGACGCGTCGCCGATTCAAGCTCGATGATGCCCCCCCCCCCCCCTGAGCTCGTGTTTCCTCTGAGCCGGCCCCCCCCTTATCGTTCCCCCTCAGACCCTGAGATCCGACGGCGCGAACAAGTACGACACTGCGAGAAGTCACAGCGGGAACCCCGGACCCCGACGGGGGTCCAGGGCCCGACCCGGACCGAAGACGCCCGACTCGAACAGATTGAGACGCCAGGGTCTCAGAGCCCCCTGCCGTTCCCCCTTCATGCGACGGTCACGGGCGAGAGCGTCTCCGTATCCACGGCCTCGCGGTCCCGGCCCCTGGGCTGCAACCCTGGAGATCTGGGGAGTCTTTTTCCGCGGGTGCCCCGCGCGGAACGCATCCGTGCGGCCGCGTGCCCGCGGCATCGCAGCCCAGGAGCCCAGGGCAGCGAGGGCGCGGCGGACGTGGACGCGTCCGCCCCGCGTAGGACAGACGACGACCACGACGACGGGCGACAGGAGGAGGAGGAGGAGGAGGAGGAGGAGGAGGAGGAGGAGGAGGAGGAGGAGGAGGAGGAGGGAGGAGGAGGGAGGAGGGAGGAGGAGGGAGGAGGGAGGAGGGAGGAGGGAGGAGGAGGAGGAGGCCCGCGCGCCACGGCGCTCGCGCGCCTGCCCTGCGGCAGGTTGCCGCAGGCCAGGAGGGCGCGGGGCCTGCCGCGCAGAATGCGAAGGACCGTCGGCCGCGGCGCTCGTCCGCCGTCCGCCGTGCGCCGTCCGCCGCCCGTCGCCCCTCGACGCCGTCGTCGTGATCGTGGTCGTGGTCGTCGTCGTGGTCGTGGTCGTGGTCGTGGTCGTGGTCGTGGTCGTGGTCGTCGTCGTCGTCGTCGTCGTCGTCGACGCCGCCGTCGTCGTGGTCGTGGTCGTGGTCGTGGTCGTCGTCGTCGTCGTCGTCGTCGTCGTCGTCGTCGTCGTCGTCGTGGTCGTGGTCGTGGTCGTGGTCGTGTTCGTGGTCGTGGTCGTGGTCGTCGTCACGTAGTCCTTCGTCTTTTGGCCTTGAAGGGGGCTTCCTCGTTGCCGCGGCTGGGCGCAGCCTGGCAAACTGGTCGGCATGGTGCCGGGGAGGGATCTGTCTGGAGGAAGACCACGTCGTCTATGCAGCTGCAGATGGGTGGATAGCCTATGGGGGCTAGCCTGGCCCGTATCCAGGGGCTGCTTCCTTTACCACTCGCGAGTGGTACGCGAGTGGTACTCGTCTATGCAGCTGCAAATGGGTGGATCGCCTATGGGGGCTAGCCTTGCCCGTATCTCACCACCCACCAAACCACCCCAACCCAACCCGAAGGCCTCAAATTGACCTCCATTTCCAGTGGGGGGGGTCGGGGAACATCGAGAAAACACGCATGGAACCCGTACCCCCCCCACCCGAAATTGGGGTCTTCGGGTTGGGTTGGGGTGGTCCGGTTATCCAGGGGCTGCTTCCTTTACCACTCGCGAGTGGTACGCGTTCTGAGCGAGCATCTTCCCCTGTTCCTCTTCCGCAGCCGCTTTTCTCTTTTCCTGCTCGGTTTGCACTTCACTTGGCGGATAGGCTAGCGGTTCCTGATGCGTTCATGCTGGTGCGACAAACATGGATCCATGGACTCCGATCGCCCAGGTGTTCGACGAGGTTCCTTGGCGAAGGCAAGTCTCGCCCACCCCCTGGGTTACGCACTCCTTTTGCTTCCCGCTCTCCTCCGATCGTCGTCGTCGTCGTCGCCGTTGCGGTCTTCGATTGGGGTTCCAGGGCCTAGGTTCCAGGAGTGAGGTCTTTGCATGTTTCGGGGCTTGCTTAGGCCTCATGGCGCCTCTGGAGAACGCTGGGGACCACCGCCGTCACCGTCGCAGACGCCATCGCCACGTCGTTGTTGTCGTCGTCGTCGTCGTCGTCGTCGTCGTCATCGTCGTCGTCATCGTCGTTGTCGTCGTTGTCGTCGTTGTCGTCGTGTTCGTGACCGTGACCGTGACCGTGACCGTGACCGTGATTGTCGTTGGCCTCGCCGTCGTCGCCGCCGCCGTCGCCGTCGCCTTCGCAGTCGCTGTCGCCGTCACCGCCACCGCTGCCACCGCCGCCGCCTCCGCCCCCGCCGCCGCCGCCGCCGCCGCCCCCGCCGCCGCCGCCGCCGCCGCCGCCGCCGCCGCCGCCGCCGTCGTCGTCGTCGTCGTCGTCGTCGTCGTCGTCGTCGTCGTCGTCGTCGTCGTCGTCGTCGTCGTCGTCGTCGTCGTCGTCGTCGTCGTCGTCCTGGCCGTTGCCGTCGACGCCGCCGCCCTCCGCGCTGCCGTCGCGGGGCGGGGAGGACGGGGCCGCAGGGAGCGGCGGAGGGGAAGCCGGGGGAGGGCGGCCCTCCTCCGGGCGAGACCGGCGGATGGCGGGCCTCGCGGCGGCACCCCCCCCCGGGGAGGCGGGGGCCCGCGCTCGGGCCACGTCCGCACGCGCGCCACCGGCCGTCACGGACGGCCTCCCCCCCCCCCCCCCCCGGCCGCTCACCTCCTCCCCCCTTTTTTACGGGTGCGTCCGCCGTTCGGTCGTGCCCTTCTTCTTCTCCTTACCTCTTCTCCTCTTCTTCTTCTCCTTACCTCTTCTCCTCCTCTTCTTCTTCTCTTGCCTCTGGGTTTTTCTTTCCTTTCCCGCCGGCGTCGTCGGGCGGGATGGGGTCGAGGGCGTCGAGCGCTCGTGGTGACACGGTCCGCAGCTCCGAGCATCGAGAGGGGAGTAGGGGGACGAGGAGCGAGAGAGAGAGAGGAGGGGAAGCGGCCCACGGCCTGACTACCCCTCGCTGGCAGGGGCAGTCTCTTCTGCCCAGGAGTTCTCCGGAGTCTCGACACCCAAACGGGCGACGAATAGGGAACAAAAAGTGGCATAAACATGAAAACTCGGAGGTCCGCGCGGATTGCTCGGACCGGCGCTGGAACCCGCCCTGATGGTCCGCTACCGAAAATTTCCGGTAGCGCTCCGCAGAGATCGGTCGCTACCGAAATACCGAAATGTAGCGCCCAGTACCGGTATCAGAGCGCTCTGAAACCCGCTACTTCAACGCCCTCAAACGAAGATCCGGTCGCTACCGAAATTCGGGGTGCGTCGAAATCGCTACCGAAAATCTCCGGTACCAGACCATCTGGGTGGCGCGCGGAGCGCGCAAGGGGCGGCGCCAGAGGCGCCGCCGGGGGGCCCCAGCGCCGCCTCCGGGGGGCCCCGCCGCGGGGGGGCCCCCGGAATTGGGCGCGGGAGGTCGCGCGTGGGCGCCCTCGTCTTCGGTGCAGCGTGCCGCGCGGGCGGCCCGCGCAAAGCCACCGCGGCACGTCGCCGTGCCTGGGCGCCCCGGCTGCGCGGGTTGCCTCGAGCGGTTGGGAAGGAAGGAAGGGATTGTCGGGCCGGGCGAAAGGGGGGGATTGGGAAAGGGGGGGTTACGGAATTTGCTGCATGCAGCTGGTTTCGGCTTCACCGAGGGGCCCATTCCTCGATACATGGGCGCCTCCGGCGCCGGGAGGCGCCGGGAAAATCAGCCACGTGAGCTGATTCTCAAAACCCCCCTTTCGCCCGACCCGAGATTGGAAGGCGGAGGAGGGGAAATGATGGGAGGCGACAGCGATGAAAAATAGATCGTGTCCAGAAAAATGACCTGCGCTGGGCCGAGAGCGCCGGTCGTAACGACGGGAACAGCGGCGATCCGAGAATGGGGCCCACGCTGCAGCGGGAGTACCGCTTTGAAACGCTGGCAACAATCGGATGGCAACACTGCAGAGGATACGTCAACGTTCAAAATCATTTGGGTGGAGAACGGTGCGCGGAGATGGCCAGAGATCTTCCGCAGAGGGTCAAGGGAGAGAGACGCTTATTATTCACCATGTGTAACGGTGTAGAATGATGATCGGGAGGTCGAGGAGAAGTAGAAGAAAGAAAAGGGACCCCTACAGCCGCTCTCTGCTCTCGAATGGTAGGCGGAGGCTGGGGGTCCTGTTTCGGACCGAGTGTAGCTTGTCACCCACCTCACCTGTAGTTTAGCCCCTATTGCACGTGGAACTTGGGGGAGGAGGAGGAAGAGGAGAAGGAGGAGGAGAAGGATGAGAACGATGAGAAGGAGGAGGAGGAGGAGGAGGAGGAGGAGGAGGAGGAGAAGGAAGTGGACGAGGAGGAAGAGGATGATGATGATGATGATGATGATGAGGAGGAGGAGGAGGAGGAGGAGGAGGAGGAGGAGGAGGGGGAGGAGGAGGAGGAGGAGGAGGAGCAGCAGGAACAGGATGAGGAGGAGGAGGAGGAGGAGCAGCAGGAGGAGGCCGAGGAGGAGGAGGAGGACGACGAGGAGAAGAGGGGGGAGGAGGAGGATGGGGGAGGGTGGTTAGATACGGGGGGGGGGGAAGAAGGGCCAGGAGTGATGTCCAATTTGGCCCTTCGGTTCGTGGAGACGAGCTCAAGCGCGGCAGCGTCACCAGCCAGCAATGGACCCTCGGACTCGGTGCAGCCGGTGCCGATTCGGCCCCATCGAACCTGGCCCCAGAGGGGGCCAGGAGGGAAGGGAGGGGGGGAGGGGGGGGTGGAAGGAGGGGGAGGGAGCAGGAAAGCCCCGACGGCGGTGCGAGCTGGAGCTGGGCGAGTGGCCCTTCTCTGTCCCCGCTCTTCCCCCGTTCCCCCCTCCTCGTCTCCCTCCTGGATCCTTGAGCGCGTGCGGCTGTTCAGCTCCCAGTCGGCACTTTCTTTGCAGCGTCGGCCATTGCGGATTTCGGGTTCTTGCTGTGTGTGTGTGTGTGTATGTGTGTGTGTGCTTGTTTCCGGAGGAGGGTCGAAGAGGGGAGGGGCATTGGACGGAGGCGAGGAGAGATGGGGTGCGAGGCGAGGGGCGGGGAGGGCGCGTCTGGATCCAGACGGTCCAGTGCTCCTCGTCCTCGCCGTCGGCTGCTTCGTCTGCCGTCGCCGTGGTTAGTCGTCGCTGCAGTCCTCCTTCTCTCCTTCTCTCCTGCCTCCTCCTCCTCCTCCTCCTCCTCCTCCTCCTAGCAGCCGCCAGCCGTCACCAGCACGGCTCCCTCGACGGACCACAGCGGCGAGTTTGTTTGCAGAGAATTTATGCCAGACGGATCGCAATGTCTATCTAAATGGCCGACATACAAACAGCTCGTCGCACACATCGCTTCGACGTCGGGAGGTACGCACGGGAAGCTGCACATCGCAAGAATTTGCACTATTACTAACCAGTGTACCATATGCTCTAGCGTGTTTCGTGATCGTACGGTCGCATTGCAGCAGTACTAAGCGAAGCCTAGTTCGTCAGTGCTGCCCTTACAACAAAGGTCGCTTCGAAAGTCATGTACTCGAAACGGATGCCAGGAAGTGTCACGTATGTCTAGAGGAGTTCGACACCGCAGCCGAGTTGTCCAGGCATGTTTTCTCTCATCTTCGTCCTTTTTCTGGCACCGAACTTTCATGGTAAGGTCGCAGGACGACGCATCAGGCTTGGTGAGGCCTCGCAGCAAGAGCTTTGCGATCGCATCCGAGCAGAGAGAGAAAGAGAGAGAAAACAACGAAGACGGAGGACGGGATGGAGGTCGTATCAGACGAGGAGGAGGAGGAGAACAACGCCAAACAGTCTGTGCGAGACAAGCTGATCATCCAGCTCGAGACTCGCGGGAGAACCCTCGAGCAGGTCAATGTCACCACCCTCATGCTGGAGTGCAAGCATCCTCTGGTGGAGGCCATGCTCGACAGTTTCCAGGACTTCCTGAAAGTGAGGAAAGAAATTCCAGACAAGGAGCTGGCCGCCCCCGCGTGCCAAGCCCTTTTCGCGGCTCTCGCCGTTATCGAGAGCTCGTCGCCCGCGGACACATCTCTGCGCATCCAGGCAGGCAAGAAGGCGTGTGTCAGGCTCCAGAGGATGATGTCCAAGTCAACGCAGTTCCAGCTGTCGAGGTGGATCAAAGAGATGACGACCACCCCCACCTACGACCGCCCAGGCCAGAAAGAGTTCAATCGCATTACGTTGTCGCTCAAAGGCAATATACTGCTCCCAAAAGATCCAGCCGTGGAGGAAGCTCTTCTCAAACAGATCGAGGAAGCAAAGGGAGGGGAAGGGGACGAGGTAGGCATACAGATGACGCCGCTCGACCTTCCCAGTGAGCATATGTCCATGGTAGGCATGTGGGTGAGCGTCGAACAGGTGTTGTGTGAGCAGATGCGCAGTATAGGTGCCACAGTGAAGTACAATCGTGCCCCGAGAGGCAACATGGCCAGGCAGCTTGGCGGCGGCAAGAAATCTTCTAAAGGCCGCAGCCAGGCCATTTCCTCGGCCGAGCGCCCGTGCTGGGCCCCAGCGCTGGCCTCTCAGCCTTTTGCAGTGGTGCGTGAATTATCTGCCTTTCTCTGTGCCCTTGTTCGTTTGTTGTGTTCAGGAATAAGAGTGCTCGTGTATTCATATTGCGTGTAATATTCTCGCTGTGGCTGCACAGTCTATATCTCACACGCACAATTTGTAGCAGCATGGTTGCCAGATGGGCCAAACGTCGACGGGGGGTTAAACAAGGTTTTAACGGCCCCAGCCAGAACCAAGTTTCGTTTTCCAGTGGAACGTCAGACGGCTTGAGTGGCTTGAGTGCTGCTGCTGCTCCTCCTTTTCATCCTCCTCCTCCTCCTACTCCTCCTCCTGCCCCTCCTCCTCCTCCTCCTCCTCCTCCTCCTCCTCCTCCTCGTGCTCCTCCTCCTCCTCCTCCTCCTCCTCCTCCTCGGCAGCCATTTCGGCCCGGGTCTCATGCTAGGCCCGCGGACCGCACACCCCGCGTTCCTTGCATGGCGACGGCGGCGCGCGCTGTTGCTCCTGCTCCTTTTCTGGCTGTGGCGCCGTGGTGAGTCGCTTGGCATGGTGCACACCCGTGCGGCGGCGGCGGCGGCGGCGGCTGCCAGACGTTGCTGGGCATGGCAGCTCGGCTTCGAGAGCCGTGCTTCCGACGGGCACCGCCTGCTCACGGTGCCCGACGGCCTGCGCGTGAATCTGAAGACGGTGACCGCGGGCAGGACCCTCCACGCCTCGTTGCCGCACACCGGCGGGCTCCAGCCGCATAGCTCTCGGTCGGCATGCCATGCAACACGCTGCTGATCTGCCTCCCGAAGCTGCTGCACGACTTCTGGCTGTCACTACACGCTACGGTCGTGCTAAACATCGTACCCCGATTGGCGCCCACCCCGGTCGCGGCGAGGCCGCCCGCGGCCATACCTTACCCACGAAACTGAAGTTGAATGAGTTCCTTGACTGCAAGCTTCAAGCCCACGCTGCCCGAGCTCGAGTCGGCCACTGTGGTGCCCCTGCCGTCCGTGGCGGCCTACGCGTCCCACATGCCGCCCATCATCCCGATCGGAAGGGCCAATGCCGAGGAATTGCTTGGGCTGGTGGAACTCCTCTCCCCTGCCGCCCAGATGCCCTGCATGACCTACGATTTGCACCCGACCACCGACGACAGGACATGTCTGGAGAAGGGTCTCGTACGCATCCTCTTCATCGCCGCCTGGGGTAGCAGACTGTGACACGCTCTTGCACGACATCGATTTTGAGACGGGACTTTGCATCTTCGAGGGTCGGGTGCTTTGTTGCTCTCTGCATGCTATGCCTGGTGGTGCAGTCGCTCCTTGCGAAGCTCTTCACTCTGCCCTTCGGCTGGGTCTTCTTGGTAACGGGGCTGCTGACGATGGTGTTCGGGACCGTCCTGGGGGTCGGGGCCGCGCTGGCGATGGAGACGGCGCTGAGCCTCGGAACCACTCTGGATCAGGGCCGTGATGGGGATCAGGACGACGCTCGTCATTTGTCTTGTGTCGAGCCTTCCGTGCAAGGCGAGTGGGTTGTTGTGGCGCTGACCGAGGTGGTCGATCTCGACTGCATGAGGATCCCGCCGGAGGGCCCGAGGATCTTTAGTTCTACTGTGCCACCCGTTGTCGCTGCCAGGCCCCTTGGAGTGGCCATCGGCAGGGAGCGCAAAGGTCGACGGGCCGCAGCGGTCGCCCTTGGGATCGCCCCTACAGCACCACTGTGGATTGTGACAACGATTCGGTGACGAGTGGAAGCATTGTAGCCCTCTCTCTGCGTGATTGCTGGACTGGCTCCGTGGGCGTCGTCCACTGCGGCGCATGGGCCGTCGCGGGTTTTCGGCCCATTCTCTCTTTGGGGGGGGGGTTGAGAGCGGGGGCGCGGGGGTACCGCGTTTCTCACCCTGCGCCGCTGGGGCGGCTGCTACTGACCTGCTTTCCAATGCTGCCGCTTGATGCGGTAAACTTGCACGCGGCACCGCAATGTATACAGATGTCGAGTAGCCAACTTACTTTACTAAGTTCGGGTGTTCCACCAACCAGCGTCTTTTGGGCGACGAGCGTAGGTTCTCCCATCTTTGCAAGGTGTCCGACCAAGCGATTGCTGAAGAACATGTTCCCTTTAGTCAGTTGTATTCTGAACTGCTGGGGCTCCTCCTCTTTCCGCATGGCTCTAGCATCCTCGTGCTGCTGGCCGACATGCGCTCGAGGTTCACGCTCTTCTGAAGGGCCCCTGGGGAGGCTGCCTCAGGGGAGGCTGCCTCACTCGAGGAGTCACGGCGGGACGTCCGTTGAGATTATGAGGAGCACCCCCATCACGAGGCTCCAGACGGTGCCCAAGGTGCTGCTGTACGCGTGCTCCATGGTGCCCCTGTCGTTCCTGCTCTCTGTGATGGTGGCTAGCACTCTTCGGATTGCCAACCACCTGCCTCTGGTTGGGCTGCGGCTGCTCCTCGGCCCTCCGCCCTTCGAGGCGGCCGTGCTCGAGTGCACGATGCTGCAGCTGGGGCAGAAGGCGGACAGCTCAGCGCTGACGATGCTCAGCCTGATCTTCGACTGGGCCTGCTCGGCAACGAAGACGCTGAAGGTGGCTTTCGGGATCGTGCAGGTGTCCAGGGGCCGTGCTGGAGATCGGGATCCTGCGGGAGCTCAGGACCCTGCAGTGGATCTTGCATTTCGACGGGGTCTGCTTGGTGGGTTGGTTCCTGGCGGCGGGCGTGTCCCTAGCCCCGCTGACGCAGCCCGCCTCGATCATGCTCCCCTGGTAGCAGCTGCTCGTCGCGAGCACCATGCTTCAGCTGTCCGCGACGACCCCCAAGCTGAAAAGCCAGGCATGACCCCCTCCGCCCTGCAGTTGCTTGCGCACGGCGACCACCATACTGAAGCTGTCCCTCGTGGTTGCCAGCCCTGCTGCGACCATGTCAACTGTTCCAGAGGGACGGGGATCCAGCCTCCGCCTCTGGACGCAGCTGCCGCCCAAGACTTCGTTGGCGATGCGTACGTGTCCGGCAGGGAAACGTGGATTCAGCCATCGTTCCTGGTCGCATCTTCGGCACCTATAAGCTCTGCGACACCGTCGTTCCCATCGGCGATCGCTTTAGGTACTATGGTACTTTCAGCGTCAGGCTGCTCGAGCTTGGCTACGGCTCTTCCCGCTGGAGGTGTTCGTGACGATCTACACAACGAAGGCCGGCGCCGCCTGTGCGACAAGGTCAATATCAACACATACAAGTTCAACCGATCGGACACCACTGGCGGCGCTGGCACGGAGCTGGAGCCCTCCCCCTCGTGTCCACCCTTCGACGAAGCTGAAGTGCTGCGCCAAGCGGCAGTGGACCTGGCGAGCTCCACGCACATGTTGGTTGCTGCTCAGCCTGTGTGTGCTGCGACGGGGCGCCGCCTTCGATGAAGCGCGTGGTTCTGCTCGCGCTGCTCTCGCGGCTCGGTCCGCCCCGCTCCGGCCACGGGGCACACTGCGCCGAGCCCGTCTCCGAGCGAGGTCGAGGCCTCCTCGCCGAACAGGTTGGGCGAGACCTCCTCCTCCTCCTCCTCCTCCTCCTCCTCCTCCTCTCCATGTGGCGGCCCCCGTGGGACCAGCCGCGTGCCACTTCGACGCTGACGCGTTCGCGCTGCTGCCTGCCGCGGGCGGCCACCTCCGAGGGCCCCCGCGGCCTCGACCTCGAGGCCAGCGGCCCGCGGAGAGGCGGGGCCCCGCGCGCCGCCCAGGCGCTCGTCAGGCATGGCGGGATCCGCTCTCGGGTCGCTCGCTCGCTAGCTCGTCCTCCTTCTCCTCCTCCTCCTAGTCCTCCTCCTCCTCCTCCTCCTCGTCCTCCTCCTCCTCCTCCTCCTCCTCCTCCTCCTCCTCCTCCTCCTCCTCCTCCTCCTCCTCCTCCTCCTCCCTCCTCCTGTCCGCTAGTCTGCCTGCCTCCCTCTCCCTCCGCCCTCCCTCCTCCCTGCCCCCACGGGGCATGATTGGGCCAGCAGCCCCGAAGCCAAAGACCTCCTTCCTCCCTCCTCTGTCCTCCGCAGCCGCCTCGGCCCGAGTGAGGCAACCTTGCCCGCTTCCACGCGCCCCAAGGTGCCGCGGCGCTCTTCTTTGCAGGCGTGTGCCCCGGGACCGGGCCTCACACCTGCACTGTGCGCGAGCTCGGCCGCGCCCGCGCCTCGTGCGTGCCTGCCGGGCCGACTGGTCCCCATGCCTCGGCCACCCCGTATACATACATATATATATATATATACATACATATATATACATATATACATATACATATATATATATATATATATACAGGCTCCGCTCGGAGCTCTCCCTCGGCACCGTCCTCCGGCGGCCTGCTCGGAGCTCTTGCTCAACATCGTCCTCGCCCCTGCTCTGCCTGCTCGGCCTGCGCCGTCCTGCTCCTCTTGGGCCGCCGCCAGAACGGGCGTCCTGCTCCGTTCGGACCCCCCCCCGAACCGAACCCTCGCCCTCCCCCTTTCCCCCGCCCCTCCCCCTTCTATCTGCCCCGTCCCCGTTTCCCTGGTTCCCCCCCTCCCCCGCCCCGCGCCCTCCCCTCGCCATCCCGCCTCCTGCTCCTGCTCCTCCTTGCGCTCCCCGTCTCCGTCCTTGTCCTCCTCCTCGCCCGCCCCCCGCGGACGAGGACGACGACGAGGACGACGACGGCGACGTCGGCGTCGACGATGATGGCGAGAACAACGGCGACTGGCGGGTCCCCCCCGTGGCGGGAGGACGCGTGGCGCAACGGCACGTACACCGAGCGCCTGCACCACGGCCTGATCAACGGCATCGACAAGTTCATCGACGGGGATCGGGAAGGAGGCGGATGATGATTGATAGGAATCCGCTGATGGGAGGATGACGCGGAAGAGGATGGACGTTCTCCCCTTCTCTCTCTCTCTCTCCCTTACTCCGCCCCTCTCCCTTCCTCTCGCTCCCTTTTTTTCTTGTTGTTTCTCTCTCTCCCTCCCTCTGCCATCCTCTCCTTCCTCTCCGCCCCCTTCCCCGCCCCCCGACCAGCACGCACTCCTCCGAAGAGAGGACGTGGAAGAGGCGCGCGCAGACCTCAAGGCTCCCGCCCCCCCCCCCGCGCCGCCGCGCGCTGCGTGCCACCTGGGCGCCTCGGGGCCGTCCTCCACGCCCTCGAGATAGCGTAAAGTCGGGCCTGTCCCTCCACAGGGGGAATATTCCCAAATAGTCCAAACATAGTCCAGGGACTATTTTTCCAGTATGTTGGGGCATCTTTTGGGTATTTGTTGGAATCTGTTTTTATTTTTCTTCCAAAATCCCCCTGTAGGGGGATAGGCCCAACCTAAAGATAGCATCTTGCTGCCGTCGGGCCGGGCGGGGGGGGGGACCAGCGAAGGGGGGAGTCAGGAGCGATAAAGGGTATCGGTGCCATAGGCGCGCCTTCTCTCAAACTGTTCGCGTTGCCCGTCTGCTTGTTTCTGCAGGGCCCGGGCCTGGCACTCCTTGCACGGCAACGCGCTGATGGGTCAGCTTGGCTGGCGTGGCGTTGGTACTCCTTGTTGCTCTCCGGGCGGAGGGGGGGTGCACGGCAGCGGTTGCCTTGCGCTGGTTTCGGCCTTGCCGCCAGGCGCGCCCCTCGATGCGTACCACCCTCCAGAGCCCGGGGACGCTGGCAAAAGCCAGCTTCATGAGAGAGCTGATTCGATGCACCCCCTTTTCCTATCGCTCGCCCATGTCTTTCGCCCCGATGCAGGTGCACATTGCTCATCTGTAATTCTTCGACAGTTCTTTGATTTTTTGGGGGGCCAAGATCCTTTCACTTCTAATTGTTCTATCCTGGGCCACTTCCTGGCCACCAGGGGGCCAGGAACAATTAGAACGCAATTAGAAGTGAGCACGATTAGAAATGAACGACGTGCATCGCTCGCCCATTTCTTTCGCCCCGATGCAGGCGCGCATGCTTGCTTCGAGATCGGGAGGCCCGCACGGGCTTCCCGGGCCGGCGCGGGTCAGGCGCCTGCCGCAGGAATGCGGCGCGGCTCTTGGGCTGTTTGTGCCACGTGTTGCTCTTCTGCATCGGGCCCTTCGGCGTGGGTCTCCCACTGTCCCCGCAGCAGCGGTCGTTCCCTGGGCAGTCACCCGCGTCCGGCCCGTGATCGCCGCGCAGGCGATTCCGGGACTGTCCCCCTTAAGCTCGCTCCAGGACGGTGGGCCCAGGGTGCAGACAATGGTGCGCCCCAGGGATCGCTCCGGGTGCATTCCGTCCGTGCCCACGCGAGAGCGATGCGTCCCAGGTCCAGGCAGTGGGCGCCTCTCGGGAGCAGGTGGCGCTCGCCATGCCAGGTGCCCAGAGGTCCGAGAGCGTGCGTGGCACCGGCGCGGGGCCCTCGGCCTTCCCGATCTCCCAGGTGCGCAGACCGTGACGGGGGCCTCGAGTGCTCACCTTTCGAAGTCTTTCGGGTCCACAGCAAGTGGTCATCGGGAGGAGGAGGAGGAGGAGGAGGAGGAGGAGGAGGAGGAGGAGGAGGAGGAGGAGGAGGAGGAGGAGGAGGAGGACGAGGAGGAGAGAGGAGGAGGAGAGAGGAGGAGGGGGCGGGAGTCCCCCTGGTTCTGTTCGACGGTGCCGAATGTTGGGCCCCCCCCCCCCCCGGTTCAAACGCGCCGCCGAGCGTTCCAGGGCGAGCGCCCGCGAGACGCGCTCCCTCCGGCGTGGGCACCTCTCGGAGGTCTGGGCCACTTCCCCTTCGGCCCCGGGCCCGCCTCTCGTTTTCAGGCGTGTCTGAGGTCCCCTGGGGCCCCGCGGCTGCCCCCGGAGGCCGCGCCTGCCAGAACACTGGGCGCTGCACTGCTCGAGGCGGCGGCCGGGCCCCGCGCGGCTCTGCCCCCGCTCGCTGCCGCCAGAGCGGGGGCAGAGCCTGGCCGTCCGGCCCAAGAGGCGCCTCCCCCTCGGCCGCGCGCGGAGGTGCCGCTGACCGTCATCGAGGGGCCGCTGATGCAGGGCATGGGCATCATCGGGGACCTCTTCGGCGCCGGCAAGATGTTCCTCCCGCAGGCCTCCGGGGGAGCTGCAGAGCTTCCTGGGCCACGATCGGGCGTTGCTGGAAGTGCCCCTGGGCCGAGGTGCCCCCAGGATTCTCGGAGGGGCCCGAGCGGCGTCCGAAGCACCCCTCACGAAGCCCAGAGGGCCCCAGGGGGCTCCAAAACGGAGCGAAAAGCTGGGGGCACCTTGGGCCAGGAGTACTTCTAGCAGCACCCGAAGCAGCGGGAGGGGACGAGCCCAGGGGGAGGAAGCCTCGACCCCCAACCGCCCCTTCCGTCGCGGATCGTGGCCTGGGTGCCCACCCCCGCCTATGGGAGTGTGGCTTCGCTATCGGGGGCCTGGCGCCCACATATCGGCGACGTATATTCAAGTCGGGCCTTGTCCCTCTGTACTCCAAGGGGGATTTAAACAAATGACGAAAACATAGTCTGGGGACTATTTTCAGTATTTTTGGGAATATATTGGGGTATGTTTTGACTATTCTTAATTTGTCCTCGAAGATCGGCCTGTAGGGGGACAGGCCCGACCTAAACGTATATCCGATTCCATGTCAATGTTTCCCCCGGAGGAGGAGGAGGAGGAGGAGGAGGAGGAGGAGGAGGAGGAGGAGGAGGTGGAGGAGGAGGAGGAGGAGGAGGAGGGGAAGGAGGAGGAGGAGAAGGAGGAGGAGGAGGAGGATGAGGAGGAGCAGGAGGAGAAGGAGGAGGAGGAGGCGGTGCCGCCATAGAAGGTATATGGGGATGGCGGAGGAAGGTAGCGACGACGACGACAGCAACGAGGACGGAAAGGACGACGACATCGGCAGGAGTCAACCACAAGCACCTTCGCGAAGTTTTCGCTCCAAGAGCCTTTCAGGAGACTCCTTGGGGCATCTTGGAGCCACGAGGCCATTCGGGGAGCTTTCGGGACCCTCTCTGGGCCTTATCGGGGCCCTTTCGGGTGCCTTTGGGGTCATCTTGGGGCCATCTTCGAGGTCATCAATCAAAGAGTTCTCACGTCATAGCCTGGAATCTCACTTCTTGTAACCCTCGTGGGGCGTTATTGAGTTGTCTTGGGCCTCTCCTGGGCCTCTCTTGGAGCTATCTTGGGCCGTCTGGGGGCAGCTTAGGCACTCGACACCGCCTCGGGGCGGTTTGAGGCCCTCTTGGAGGCATCTTGGAGGCTACTTTGAACCATCCTGAGCTATCTTGCGTAATCTTGAAGGTCACCCTTGGCTATCTGGAGCCACCTTGGGCCATCAAGGACGCTTTGACCGCTCCCCGACCCT